AATCATGGAGAAGAGTGAGGCTTGACCTGGAATTGTTGAGAGGGAATAAAGGATTCCATGCCAGCCTGTATCCACGAAGTTATGTAAGAAGCACATTTGTCAACAGAAAGACAAAAGATTTGTGATCAGGTAGAACGCAACTAGTGAAATCAAGAAGAATCAAGTCCCAGTCAGCTTTAAGGTAGTTGTAAAATGTACAATGATAGGGGGATTTTGATGATAAAAAAGAATGAGATAATAGTTTTAAAGATATGAAACTGTGATCAGAGGCACCTAAGGGTGAATGTGGAGAAACTAAGCACTGAATGTGGAGAAACTAAGCACTATATACTATTATAAAGTTTTTCTTTTTGTTCTTATTTTAATTTTTATTCATTTTATTATTAATTTGATAATATTACTGGGTAACAAAATAAAACTTTTTTAGATTCAATTAACAGCATTCGGTTTTTCTAACTCAGATTTTTGAGCTAATTAAGAAAATGGAATCCAATTTAAGTCTACACATCCAGATTTTTCTGAAAGTTTAAATTTTTATTTTTCATCTTAAATCAGTTTGAAGTTATAGTTTTTGCATACTTTTAATTTCAAACATTCTTTTTTTAAATAGTGTAAATTAAGTTTATATTTCTATTCAATTTACAGTAAAAAATAATTAAAAAAATAGATATTAATTGTATTTTATTTCAGGATGTCTTAAATTTGCAGACGATATTGTATAAATAGTTCAAACACTTTCTGTTACACTTGTGATCATTTCACTAAAAGACAGAAGAAAAAAATGAAATCAAAATGCTTACTAAATCTTAATGCTTATTTTGGATATATGGTGGGAAATCATGGCAAAAAATGGGCGCCTCTGTATAATTGCACCAACTGCTCTATTTTTTTTAAATGGCTGGATGAAAAAAGACCAACTGTCATGCCATTTGCCATTCCTATGATATGGAAGGAGCCACGAGATCATACCACCAACTGCTATTTTTGTTCAACGAAAATTGAGGGACATTCTCTAAAAACAAAGGATAAAATAACGTATCCAATTTGTGAATCAGCAAAGTTGCGAGTACCTCACAATGACAGTCTGTCTATTTCATTTCCACCAAGTGTATTCAACCTCTTGCCCTCTCCAGATCAGACAAATCAAATAAAGAAAATGATGATGATGGCTTTATGTCTAAAACGGAATCAGCTCCACATTTTATTAACCAGCAGGAGCTGAGCAATCTAATCAGAGACTTACATCTATCAAAATCAAATGCTGAGGTTCTGGGTTCTCGACTACAAGAGTGACATTTGTTAACACCTGACATCAGAGTGACCATTTACCGAAACAGAGATGAAAGATACTCAAAATATTTCATCAAACAAAATAGTATTACTTTTTGTACAAATATTGACGGATTATTAACTGAACTTGGATGTGTCTATTCCTCTAATCAATGGCGTCTCTTTATCAACTCCTCAAAGTACTCTCTAAAGACAGTATTAATTCATATTGGAATAATCTTCCATTCCAATAGCTCATGCAGTGGGACTCCAGGAAGCTTACGGCATAATAAAAACTGTACTTAATTGTGTTAGCTATGCCAATCACAAGTGGATTATTTGTAGTGACCTTAAAGTAATTGCCCTGTTGCTCGGACTGCAATTGGGTTTCACTAAGTATATGTGTTTCCTCTGCCTCTGGGATAGCCGAGACACTAAAAATCATTATGTGAAGAAGATATGGCCCAAACATACAGAATATATAGCCTAGGATACCACAACGTTCCACAACACATTCCACTTGTTGAATGGCTGAAAATTGTGCTTCCTCCTTTGCATATCAAATTGGGTTTGGTAAAATGTTTCATAAAAGCAATGAATAAAAATTCAAATAAAGTTCTCTCGAATCATTTCTTTATTCAAAGATTAAAGGTGTGTTTGATGGGCCTCAAATAAAAGAGCTCCTGAAAGATAGGAAATTTAAGGAAACTTTTACACCAGCTGAATGCAATGCTTGGCAGTCATTTAAAGCTGTGGTTCATAACTTCCTGGAAAACAACAAGGTAGATGGTTTCAAGAATCTGGTAGAATGATCTTGTGAAGCACTATCAAGAATTGGGTTGTCGAATGTCGTTAAAGCTACATTTCTAATATTCTCATCTTGACTTTTTCCCAGAAAATTTAGGTGCAGTTTCAGACAAACATGGTAAAAGCTTTCATCAGGAGATTTGGACATGGAGAAGAGGTATCAAGGCAAATGGAATGAAACTATAATGGCCAATTATTTTTGGTTTTTAAAAAGAGACACTCAAGAGACTCATAAACAACAGTTTATGAGTCACTCATCATTTCTAAACACTTGTAACCATATCTTATTCATATTATGTTTTATATTTCTTTAAACCAAAAGTAGCATTTACAATAAAAGTGTTTTTCAAATATTCCAAAACATTAGGGCGTATAGGATAAAAACTAATTTGATTTTTGGATTTAGCATGCTTGAATTAAATAGAGACATAGTTATTATCAGCTGAAAAAAAACTTAGTTCACCAGTGCATTTATAAATAAACTTATCTATATTTTTATTATCTACAAGTAAAACTTTAATTAGCTTATCAAAGCTATATTAACTCATTCTTTTTTTTTTTTAATTTAGAAATTTTAATGATCTATTTCACCATGGTATTTGTTAAACAATTAAGAATATATAACGTACACAACTATTTTAATTTTAAAATGCTCTTAATTATTTGTTTACATATTCCATTTGTGACTAAAACTTTGAAAGTGTTACTTTTTAAAAAAATATTGCACAACAAAAATTAATAGAAACAAAAACTGATGTATTTACATATGGGATTGTTTTTCAGATGTAATTACTTCTGGAAAAAAAAATTAACCAATAATGCATTGTTTTAACCAGATGTAGTTACATATAGGATTTTTTTCGGATGAAATTACATCTGGAAAAAGTCTTAACTGCATATATAAAACTACTAAAGTAGTTTTATATATGCATTTGTATTACTTAGCTTGAATATTTAATTATTTTTATTACAGATTGATTAGTAATAATCCTTATTATTTTATATATTTGATGTTCTGTATACTGCTATGCAGTATTTAAACCACGTTAGTAATAAATAGTTTTTAATACATAAATTACTGCCGTCTATAGGGTAATTTTATTAGACTTTATTTCTTTGAGAATTTTATATAAATATTTTGTTTATTCTATGTATTTAATCGTCATTGTCTTTGTTACTATCAAAAGGTTGCAGGAAAAGTCTAACAGTATAGTAGATTGAGTTAACATGCGTATCATCCCAACTAGCACAATACGTTGGGTCACCGTTGTTTTGCAAGTATACTACGTTAACCCAACGTGGTGTGCTAGCTGGAATCCCTAAAACACGTTTCAAAGAACTTTTTTTGCGAAAAACCTAATAATATTGTTTTTAAATATCTTGTCAAATTTTAAACAAATTGGGTTTAATGAATTTAAACGACTTGAAAAAAAAAAAAGAGAAAACAAAATGTAAAGTTTTGAATCAAAGTTTTTTTTTTGGAACAGCTTCTAGATTTCAAATTTTGTACATGTGTGAAAGAATAGCTTGAATAACTTAGATGAGGTCGATAAGACATTTTTTAACGTTCCGATTTTCAGTTTTCAGTATGAATTTAAACCGAAATTTTGCTTTTTTACCGAATTTTATAAAAAGTAACAAAACCGAAACTTCGGTATTGGTTTAAATTGAAATTTCGGTTGAAACAGAATTTCGGTCGATCACTACTCAATTAGATTCACATTTAGTTACTCGGACAAAAGACTGCCTATTTTTAAAATTTGGTCTAGGTTTTACAAAAAAAGCGAGATCAGGATTTGCTCACTAGAAAAAAGTGTCGACCGTACCGGTCTAAGTAAAGTGTCGACCGTACCGGTCTAAGTAAAGTTTTTTAAAATGAGTAAAAATCTTTTTAAAAAAGTATTAATTGCATCTTTTAAACAAAAGGTTTAAAAGATGCAATTAATACTATAATTAAAAGCAATGAAAACTTTTTCTCTGTGCCTGCGATTAGATAGTTAAGGTAATAATGGATATTCATTTATTCTTGTCATAAAAAGAACTATCATTGCTTTTTTGCAATAATAGTATGAATATGCAAATCCTTTGGATTGGGTCAGAACTCTAACTACTGCTCCACGTCTGCTTTAAAATTAATAAATTACAAAAATTAACTTTTATAGGCGTTCAAATAACGTACTAAAATCACGTCTTGGCATGTTTTTTGGTAACCCTTATTAAGTTATTGAGACGCCTTTTATTTGACGTTATCAAAACATCTTTAACGTCGTAATGAAGCTATTTTATGACGTTCAGAATTATGCTAAATAGCAAATGGAATCGATGTCTTTTTAGGACGTCATTAAAAAGATATTTTTGAGACGTCCATAAGTCGTGTTTTCAGACGAATTAAAAAAGTAAGGGATCGTCCATAAAAACAAAACAAAAAAGGTAAAAAGTTTTCGCTTGCAGAGCCTTAAGTTAAATAAAAAATCGAAACAACGCATAAGTATAATGAAAATTGTCGTGTAAAAGAGCTAAAGATCTCCTTTTTAAATAAATTTAGTGTTATTTATGGACTATCCCTAATTGAAAACATCGGTGTAAAAAAAAAAAAAAAAAAAAAAAGCCCTAGTTTCTATCAACTTTAATGGATTATTAGTATACAAAAGAAGTTCTATCAGTTAGTATAAAAATGACATAGATTAAAGCACTTCTTGTGTCATTAAACACACGATTTGGTAGAAAAATACGTATTCCCTACATATAATATTATTCAGTTTTTTCTTTCTCCTAAATAATTTGCGAAAATAAAGTTACATCGTTTTTGTACCCAAGTCTTTAGTTGTTTGATAACTTCATTTTATTTCCTTAAATTTTTACCCCACAGTATTTCTTAAAAATACCAGCAACAACAAAAAAAAAATCAAATCAAATAAAGGTTTAAAAATATATATTTTCGATAATTTTGGAAGAATTTTTATAAATTAAACTTCTTGTTCCTCCTCTTATAGAAACGACTCTTCGAACAAATGACATCTTTTGTCCTTTTTTTATCCAGGTGCATGCTTTAGTGTATTTGCAATCACAATTTGACAGTCATTTTCGGTGTAGTAATCGACTAAACAGT